ATTGTGTCTGCGGTTTGTTCGCTGCCTTTGATTTCCAGCGACTCCTTCTATTCTTCCTTCCCTCTTTTTTTGCAAACTGGTTTAAGCGTCTGTGTAAAATGTCGTTCTCATTTTGGGGTAGAGGAATGGGTTTTGGCTCAGCTTCAATTAGATATGCGTATGCTGTTTGTTTTTAGGACTTTTGCCACGTTTTTATTGCCCAGCAAGGCAGACGTGCTCTGTGTGTCAGGTGGAAAAATCTTATAAATTTTGGAATAACTTTCATAACTTATGGTGGCTATACTCATATAGGAAGCAGCTAGAACTCGGTGCAACTAATGCCATTGTCTTGTCACACATGTCGGATGCTGTCTGCGTTCGCTATTTGAGTTTCTCTGGCGCTTAAAACGATGCCAGGACATAAAGATCCAGCCCGCCTCTTTCTCTATACTTTCGGGGGGGAAAGTGGGCTATATCTGCGCTCCTCTTAATGTGGTTTAGTGCTTGGTTGACATGTTTGTACGGCGTGGACTTATGGCTCAAGGTACACAGGGAACTTGTGTCTCCGGTCTTTTTTGCGGCGATGTGTGGGTTGATTCCACGGTTGGGTTCTCTCATACTGAGCAAACAGGAATTTGTCTAAATTGGTTGGATAAGCTTTAAGGGGGTTTAAGGTGGTGGGGAAAACTGATTGGAGAAACTAACTTACGCGGAGTTCAGCACAGTTTAAAGAGGACTGGAATCCAGAAAGATGAAACCCTTATTTCTAAGTTATAATCACTAAGCTGGCTTTAAGTAATACATATTTTGCATCAGGTATTAATATTTTTCATTAAATATGAAGTAAAACTTTGACTGCACGTGTTTTTAAACATTTCGCAAACTTCACCAACAGTTGGGAAAAACTTGAAATTTTCAAAAGTTCCTTTAAAGCGAGACTTTGGCTGGCTGTCAAAGGCAGCTCCAAGCCGTTGACACTCACCTTTAGCCCAAAAAGTGGGGAGCTTGGTTCAGCTTTACTTGTGAAACGATTTTTATACCCGCTTCCTTTGGCTGGTTTTGCTTTATTTTTAATGATTTGTATGTTTGCCGCAGGCGGTCTGTTTGCATGTTTGTTTGTTTGCTTGCCGTGTGTTTGAGCAAATTTGCTCGCCAAACTCACTTTCATGTTTAATTAAAAGATAACACACAGACAGCCTCCCACACACATGACAAGTCTTAAAGCATTTGCAGCGTTTATCGGGCAAACTTCGGCCACGCCCCCGCCCCTCTTGCTTTTGGGAAATTTATGCAATTCGAGTTTGTCCGTTTGTCTGCTGGTCCGTCTGAGTGTGTTGGCGTGGGGCTGTTTTGGGGGTTTTGAGCTTTGCAGCCGAGTGTGCAATGTGCTGGAAAATATATTTCCCAAACTCCGGGAAAACTTATCTCTGCAGAGGTGGAGAGGTGCCATGGCTACGTGACGCTTATCGTCATTATAATTGAAAGCTTTAAAAATTTATGGCCAACTTTTCGGCTATTTAGCATATCAAATCGTAAAATGCGAACGGCACTCGAGGAGGAAACTCGCAGGCACGCAAATAATTATTTCGCAGCACTCACAAATAAAAACAATTTCAATTGGCTTTTACGATGTGTATTTTGGCTTTATACGCACTCGGGAAAATGCGCGGGGAGTTCTAAAAGTACAGATTACGAAAACCCTCAGCATAGTTGGACTTCAGACTGAGATCGGTAGGATTTAGCAACCCATAATCATGGTTAGGAAATATAAAATATAAATATAAAATATAAAATATAAGAAGTTTGAAATGAAATCTCTCAGTTTGAAAAGATCTGCCAGTAGATATTTAAATATTTTATTTCATTTTAGTAAGTTAATCAGATTTCGATTTATGCCAAAAAGTTACTTGCCTTCTGGATGACCCTATAATTTTCTTCAAGTGCTGCTATTTAGTATCACCAACACCGCTGGCTATCAATTAATGTCGTGCCATAAAAAGTTGTATAAAGTGATTGACTGTCCTGTTGGCCGAGTGGAGTTGAGTGACCCCTGACCCCTGATCCCCCATCACCGGTGCCCCATCGCCGTTTCCATTTCCGAGCCCGATTGGCAAGTTGGCATGTTGAAATATTTAACGCCGCTTAAACAAATTGTGGTCTGGTCATGCGGTGACTTGTCAGACAGTAAAACATTGCCGACGCAGACGGAGCGATTTCATTACGGGGAAAATCAATAAGAGGGGGAAATGGAGAAAGGGAGGGGGTTTCCGCCTTCGTAATCTCCTCATAAAACTCTCTCGTTAGTCGCATTAAATTACAAATTCCATTAAAATGATTATTAAAGCAAGTATTTGCTAATTAATTTACTTGCTACGCACAATGCCAGGACGCAATTAATAAATCCAAATGAGTAGCTACATTGTAATCAAGACACTGGCCAAGGAGCCTGAACGGGCCGAACACCCTGTAAAAGTCGTTTCGAGGGGATTAAGCATTTAAATGTTTTTATATCGACGGGTGTGGGTGGCTCCCTCTGGGGGTCATTGAGCTAGTGGGAAGTATTTGCGGCGCCCCCTGGCGTGGGCTATGTTAATTACACTTGGCTTTAAGGAATTATCCAGATTTGTGAGTTTAAATAATTCGGTGGTTAGGTAACTACTAAGAATTTTAGTAAATTACATGGATTAAGGGATGGAAATAAATATTATCTGGATTTTTTCATATTTTTGCTGTCTTTGATTTCTTTTCACTTAGATGCTAGGCAACAATTTATTTATTACAAAAATAATGCACAAATGTCTGACTCTGAACTACAAACAATTAGAATTCTACTAAGGAAAATAAATAGGAAGCTCATTCAAAGAAAAAGTACAATCGTTCTTAAGGAAGCCTAGCACTCATCCGTTCCATTTTCCCTGCAATTGCAATTCCATTTCGACACAACCTCGTTCTCATTGTGATGGAGTTGCAACAATCTACCCTTTGTTACCCCTGAAACACAATGAATTACAGCAGTGCCCCATGAACCCAGTTCGCTGTAGTTCTTATGAATAATAAAGCAAATAATCTGTCAGCGTCGCAGCCGCCTAACCAAAAACCAAGAGGCCACCCGAAGCCAAACCCAATCCCAAAAAGAGCCAGAGAAATGGAAAGAGACGGCGACAGGGAAAGCGAAAGAGAGGCCACTAGAGGCGGGAATGTCAGTGAGAAGTCCACAGCGACAAACGACTCAATTCGTGGGCGAAATTCGAGCACTCTCGCTCGACATTTGCTCTGTCTGACAAATCAAAAAGGGAAATATACCGAGGAAAACTACTAGTCATCTATCTTGGGGGGTTCTTTCAATCAAAACAAAGCACTAAAGAGATTTTGTTCTCATTTTTATGTGAAGTAGAAGATGTATGTTACAGTTCACACTATTTAGTTTAAGTATTGAACCCAAAATAAAAAGATATTTTGATGGAAAATGTAAAACATTTCTCCCAGTGCATGGGAATTCGCATACGAAAACGCGGAAAAGCGTGTGGGAAATGGGGAGCGGTGAGTCCAGTGCTAATAACACGAAATCCGATTTGAACGCCGGACCTGCGTGTGATAAAAGCAACAACATCACGCAGTCTGCGGTTGCCTTTTTCCGTTTCGTTTCATTTCGTTTCGTTTGGTTTGGACTCGTGCCACGCTGCGTATGCGTAACGTGCGTTTTAATGAAATATTGAATTTTATTGCCTGCGTGCCCAGGACGCGCTGTCAACAACTTGGTCCAAACCAAAGGCTGACCCTGACTGGGCCGCTTCACAACTTGTCACTGCCTCGAGGGCTGCGTTACACAGTAAAAAATGACTCGGGCTAAGCAGGTTACTTTTAGCTTGTAAAAAAGGTAAGTGATGAATAAAAAATCAGAACAATCAAAATAAGACTAGAAATAATATTTAAAAATCACCTTTGGTGATTCGCATATTTGATATTGGTTAAACAGTCCTTAAAATAACATACATATTTTTATAACTCATTCATCCACACATTCATGAATAGATTTATGCAGGCATTGTTTGCTTGCTTATTGTTTTTATTTTTTTAATGTTTTTATATAATTTACGAACCCTTGGCCTTTTTTTTGCTGTGCAGGAGATCCGCACCCCTCCTCCCTTTGCAACCTCTTAATTTGATTCGTTTTATTTGTTATGCAAAAACTTGAAGTATATTATTATTACCCATATATACGCAGCTCGTGCTCTTCGTTGCGCCTGCCTAATAAAAGCAATTTATGGAGCCCAAAGCGCGGAAATGAATTGTTAACCGAATTTTTTTGGACCGGATTGGGTGAGAGAGGAGGCTGATGTCCATGATGTTGTTGATGAGTGGGTGGTGTCTTTTGTTTATGGTCACTCCTCCACCTCACCGACTGCGCCTCTTCACGTAAACGCCTTTTGCGGCATTGTGAAATTTCCCAGAGCGCACATAAAAATGAAAGCCACCAGAAGGGGCAGATAACAAGTGGCAAGGAAAACGAGGGCGTACCGCGTTTGGGAAAATGAAAAAGGGAATGCAAGTGAGGGCAAGTGAAAGTCAGTCAGCCAGGAAGAATGCAATCGGCAGGGTCTGAAAAAGGTGCATATGGCTGTGGCTACATGAAAAGGAGGTTTGGCATTCCAATAACAGGCAGCAGGCAGTAAAGGAAACGGTTTTAAAAATATTCTTAGACGTAATGGAAGAAGGTAGAAGACAATATGAAATTATGATATCAATTTTAAGCAGAATGAAATTGGAAATAAATACAGCTTATATTTTGGGACATTATATATATTAACAAACCATATTTTTAAATATTATTTACTGCTTTTCAGTTGCCACATCTAGCCTTCTTACCACCTTAAAAACCTCAGAGAGAGGTCATGGAAATGATATTGCAACAGAAACACAAAATAAACCACAGCAGCCGCTGCCTCGGTCTGATTTCGAGTTCGTGCCTCCATTAATGTTTATCCCCTTTTGTTTCTGTTTAATTGCGAGATAAAACTTACCGATAATGAGCAGCTTTATGGCCGACATGTTGGACTCTGTTGTTGCTGATGAATTTTCTGTTTTTCAACCCGTTTTTTTATATTTTTTGCGTTCGACTCTTTGGGTGGTATTTACAAAAATATTAATCCGCTAAAGAGGCAACAGTTTGACAGTCACTGGACTGGGCGACCGGCACAAATTGCATTTTAATGCCGCAATGGCAATGCCATTTTCATAAAACGCTGCACGCCGACGATTATCCAGAGACACATTTCGGTTTTTGTTTCTGCGGTTTTCGTGTTTTTTGTGTTTTTAATTTTAATTTCGGGTTCAATTCGCTGTTTAAAGGTCCACTCGAGGATTGATTTCGCAGCGATGCTGATATGCTTTTTGAAATATTCAGGCACTCGAGATGCCAGGATACTGTAATTAAATGTTTCAATTAAATTAAATGCGACACACACACTCGTGCTCACATGGGTTCATGCAAAATGCAGATGGAAGGCGCCTAGAAGTAGGCAATGAATATTTAAAGCCTCAGACATTTCAATTTGGGCTTCCAAAGGGGACCAGGATGAGGCAGAGACCGAAGCCGAGGCCAAAAGGTCCAATTGAAGCCATGCCCAGGCATTAAATTAACATATTTCCCAAATAATAATAATTTCCAGGAGTATAGAGAGCCGAGATGGATCCCGCAAATGGAATTGTGCCAGTCAGTTGGCTTTCTACACATGTAAACTGTGCTGCTAATGTCTTATTCATGTTTACAATGCCCGGCAAAAAGCGACTTATGAGCGGCCAGCATGTCAGTCAAACAGCTCGAAAATGGCCCATCGCTTGCGTGCTCCAAACTTATTAGGTTTCATCCTCCCGAAACCCCATGCCATGCCATCCCATCCCATCCCTGACCATCCCCAGGTGAGATTGTTCCGCCGGAGTGGTTGATGGGCCTCCTTTTGGCCAAGCCCCGGCAATTGCCGGGCTATTTATTTAAACCGGAGCTGAGGGGACACAAAGCCCGAGCGTTTCACTGCCCAATTGTTAATGGAAATCTCCTGCGTTACTCCGCAGTAATTGCTCAGTAATTATGAGTTATTAATTATGCCTGTTTATTTCTGTTTTGATCTATAGTTTCGGTGAACTAAAATGTACATTAAGTATAGTATTGAAATCATTATCTTTCTTTAATACTGCTCTAATTAGAGTGCTGAGACTTTTATACCAACTAAGAAAACACTTTGATAATATTTTTTTAAATAATTTCTAAGACACAAACCGACTCGTTGGATTTACAAAAAAAAATGTTTTCATTTTGCATTTCTTCACAAAAATACAGATAAAGTTATAGTCTCCTATATTATCCGTTGTGTTCTACTATCTGCACGTATTTATTTTTAAGACAGTCTCTTCTTTATTTTACTTAAACATTCGAAAAAATTCTTGCACATAAGTTAAAATAAGATTCTAAAATTAAGTTTTGCCATTTTGTCATTAATTGTAGAGTTTCACTTGATCACTGTCAGACTCTTGACTTAATCACTGATTTACCAACTGTTTTTTGTTTTTTATATTTAATTAAAGTTGTCAAAATAAAAATCTCAGCTTTGGCTCATTTGAAAATCTTGAAGGAATAGCTATATTTAATGGCTTCCGAGGAGAGATTTATCTGCACTTTTATTATCGCAAAACAGTTCTTATGTTCTTTTTTAATTCAGAAATATATCAATCAATTTATGCATTTAATTCTGTCACCGAGTCGAATGTCAATAAAAATATTCCTACACATTTTATGAAACTTAAAAAAACGCAGTGGTTTTATTTGATTGCCGTAAAGCCCATTTCTGGAACTTTATATTTTATTAGGGCAACTCAAGACATAACTCAAGGAATTTAACGATGTGAGTCCTTGGCGCGGCTCATGATTCGCTTATGCATTGCCGGGAACTTTAAGCTAAGCCACTTTCGACGACATCAAAATTCCAGCAGCCATAACAATGGCCGAGAAAAGCAAGGGAAATGCTAAGGAAAGCCCCGAAATCAGCTGTCACAGTGGAATAATAAAAATAATTTATTTGCATTTTATTTGCACATCCTGGGAGTCTGGGTCTGCCTTGGTTTCTAGGACTACAGACTGGGAACTGGGGGCCGAGGACCAGAGACCAAAGACCAAGGACAACAAGTTGCTGACACACAAACGGAAAGGACGAAAAAAAGAGGAAATTATACGGATTTGACAGATGAGCGAAGGTAAGTGGAGCACAACTTTCGCAGCGGCTTTAAATTGAGTAGAAATTGTTTGTCACTGTTTGTTGGCCCCTTTTGGGGTTTCTCGCATTTTATTTTTATTTTTATTCCGTTTCTTCTATTTCTGTTGCACTAGTTTTGGCCCAGTTTCTGGCTTTTTGGCGGCATGAATATGCATGGGGAGGGATGGCGATGGGGAGGGAAGGCACTGGCGGCAAGGTCACGGGGAAAGCGGGGCAACAGTTGCACTTGAGTGCCATTTGTCGAAAGAGTCGCCCGGCAATTTGCATAATTACAAACGCACATGTAACCGAAACGCGGTTTCCGCCTGTCCGCAATTTCCACTGCAATGCTTTTCCGCACTCGCGTTTCTTCGGTTTCTATACAGTTAGGTCCGTTTTGTGGCACTATTCAGACTCTCGGCACTGCTCGGCTTTTCTAACTTTTCCGACTTTTCCGCTTTGCCGCCCGTGGCCGCAGAACGCTTCTTACCAACTAAGTGCAATTTCAGTTTTGTTCCAGCTTAAGAACGAAGTTCGATATGACGAACCGCGAACCGAGTACAGTGAACTTCGGCTGTAGCGCACGAATGTGCGAGATTCAAAGACGAAGTCACGAATTTTGGTTGTTAAATATTTTCCGAGGCGACTGCGCCGAGAGAAAGGCTTGGCAACATGTTGCCAAGGGAGAGAATCTAAGCTTGGAAACAGTTTGAGAGCCAGCCTAAGGACGGCTGCAGGACTTTTGTGGTAGGTTAGGGATTCTAGAACAGGGACTCGGCAAAACGAATAGCAATTGTCCTAGTCTTCGAATTGATGAGACAGGGAAGAGCAGCCTTTAGAGAAGTCTCCTAATCTCAATATTCCGGCTTCCCATTTTGTTAATTTCATCAATTTAAGTTTCCATTAAGTTTTTCATGTATTTTATTTTACAGTTTATATAAATGTAAAACTAATTCGAAACGTAAAAGATCTTTCACTTTCATATACTCAAACTTAAAATCCATATTTATTTATCTTCACTAACAAAAACTAATAAACATAAATAAAATTCAATAAATTGATTTAAAAACACTCTTCGATTGTGATTTTTATAGCCTAAAATTATGAATAACTCGCTTAGTGTTCCGTTCAAATGTCAATTAAAACTGTTAACATAAACTATATTTATGCTGCATTTAACAATCAATTAAAACTTGAAAGCATATTTCGTTCTTCGAGTAAACAAATTATTATTATATTAAAAAATAATTTGTTGTCTCTCCGCCTTTTGGTTTATTTATGTTTTGGGGTCAGTCGAAGTCTGTTATTTATGGCCATAAACACACACGAAGCTGGGTCCCCGAAATTTTGTTTTGGGCCATAATCGTTGGGATTCGGTTTGGCCAAGTTTTTTGCCCCAATCCTGGCTAGCTTTCCCAGAGAGGAACTGTTTCCTTTCCACTCGTTCCCCGCTCTTTTCCCGAACCTTCATTCTCGCACTCTCTTGGCGAAAGTCTCTCGTTTGGCAACATGTTTATTTGGTGCACTCGCAAGTGCATTCCCTTCTCAGCCTGAAGTGAATCAACAGTTGGGCCTGACAAGGGCAGACAGAAAGTTCTTTAAGCCCTGGATGTTGTACTATATTCCTGAGATCCATTTCCTTATGAGATTTATATGAACAGACAACTATATCTTTCAGGCCCCTCTCTATACTTCCAGCAATCAACAGAAGTGACTCCATTCTACTCCAGCCCAATTGCTGAGTAGTTTATGGGCCACCCTTCGCTGGATGAACATGTCAGCAGCCCTTAACCCCTGTTCGCCAAGCCCTAACCCCCCTTCGAATGTGTCGTGGCACATAAAAAATATTTGCAAACTGAATGTGGCAAGTTTTGCCGAAATATAAAAAAGGGGACTGCCACAAAGGCTGGGCCAACACCTCAGCACGCAAATACAGACTCAGATATACAAAAGTTGTTAAAAAGTCCAAATAAATATATTTTCTCTTCCAGCGAAAGAGTCAGACATGGAGCGAGTGAGTGGGAGGGCGGAAGAGGAGACGCCTCACAAATGTTTGACATAAATTTATGCGTTTTGTGTGTTGCCCACGAAAACTCCTCAACTTTGCTTGTAGATCAGGTTAGATGGCACGTTTTTGTTGGGGTTGGGGCTTGGGAAATGCAGGAAAGGGGACTGCTCGGATGCTAGGGGAAGGACAGCCATGGTTGAGACTGGCAAACTAAAGTGTGTTTCGAAATTGAGTTGTCATAAAAGCATTCAGCAGGAGTCGCATCGAAGGTGGTCACAGTGGTAAACTCTTTAGTAAAGTCTGGGAAATCTTTAGGTTAAAAATAAAGGTAAAGGTATGAGACTATCTCAACAATCTTTTGCTAAAGAAACCTTAAAAACACAACAATTTTTATTCTGAATAAAAGCATTTATTCTTATAATATATATGTATTAATATTTTCAAAGTTCTAACCACTACGATTTGAAGTTTTCCTGGAAAAAAGGCTACCTGAAAACATCCTTACTTGTCTGTAACTTTTGACTTGGCCCAACTCCCGCAATACTTTCACTACTCACCCTCGTTCAGAGCGAAAACTTTTTTCGATTTAAATAAAAAGCCAGCAATGCGACAACACTTTGAACTTTGATAGAGGTCTATAAAAAAATTTATAAAATACATAAAAATATGTCAGCACTTTCAGAAGCAGTTGCCCCGATAGTCAGAGGTACCCAAAAGCTTCTTAGTGGCGTATATTTTTGTCTAACATTTTTATGACTGCATATTCTGTTTCATAACTAGGGAAGCTAGTGCTATGTTGTTTTATTTTCCGTCATAAATTTACAAATTTTATGAATTTAGTTTGGCTTTTGGTTTACAGTCCTTAAGATGTCCTTTTAGTAAAAGAGATCTTGTTTAATCTTACCTTACCTCTTCAAACTCCAGAATGAGATACAGAACCTTTAAGAGACACCCATCTTATCCCCCGAAATTCAACTTGTTAACTTATCGCTTAAAATGCATTATTTAATGCATTTCCCAGGCCTGAGCGGAAGCTAGCCGCCATCTTTGGTTGTGTTTTTTTACAGCCGCTCGGAAAATGTTTCAGGAAAAGCAGCTGCCGAACCGGCGGCGGTTTAAACATTTTTAATTAATTTACATGACAGCAGCTGCTTGGCATGTGATGCACGTAAGATGCGTGGGCGCATTTCCCAGCCGTTGGGTGGGCGTGTCAGCGGGTAAATCGAGCGAGGGGAAGCTGATGAGAGGTGCAGATGGAATTAAAATTGTAGCGAAATACTTTTGGTTGCAGCTGCAGCGGCAACTACAGTTAATCAAATGTGAAATGGCATGAGCACGGCACTGGGAAATGGGGCGCCTAAGGGGGTGTGGCATATAAATCAGTGCGGGCGCTCCCACTTTCACCCCCAGCTACCAATTCGCACTTAATTGCTTAAACAAAAGCGACGCCTTTTCCTTTTTCCACCGCACTATTGAGCAATTATGCAGTCGGAAAAACAGTGCCTCTGAAAAGTGTGCTACAAAGAGGAAAAAGGGAGAACCTGATTATAGATGTTGGCTGCCACTTAAAAGTTACTTTCTATATCTACTTTTTATCTTAATTATCATGATTTAAAAATCTGATACCCAAAACTATAACCTACTTACGATTATAAGTTGATTATATTCAGAGTAGTTTTCTGATCTTGTCTGGTATTAATTATTAAAATAAACATTATTAAGGGATAACTTCTTTCTGTGTATCAAATTAACCAAACTTTTTAGGCAACTCATTGTGGAGGAAAGGAATGAGATGGAAAAGTGAACGGAAAGCCAAACGGGACGTGGCAAATGCGTTAATATATTCAAGGAGGCCTCATCATCGGCGCTGACGACGTTTTGTGTTAGCCATATAATTTATGCGCGTTTTAATTTCATTTGGTGCCTAACAAGTGCCACGCCCACCTTAGAAGCTCAGACTGCGAAAGGCGGGGGAAGGGAATGGGGGAGGTGGAAAGGGGAATATGTTATTTTGACACCTTCAAGGTTGCGCCCACCTCAGACAACTTGCGACGATTTGTTGGGTCGAAATGTGGGAAGTCTGGGGAAAACGTCAAGGAATCAACGAGTGGAAGGACTAATCAAGCTAGGGAATTGAAGAAAGTTGGAAATGGGGTTACTCTTTCTTAACAAAAACTATACCCAAGGTGACTTTTTAGGGAAAACTTAGAACTTACTCAGTTTCAGTGTTGCTTTTGAGGGCTATATTTTTCCTTGTGGGTTAGTGATTCACAAAATATAATAAAAACATAATTGCTGTTATAATAACACAAAAGATTTCTTGAACCTTCAACAGAAGGACAGAAGAGTATTTCCCTTTCGCCGTTCGTTCCGAATATCACCTCGATTTGTTATCCTTAACACCAAATCCTTTTTGCATATTGTTTTGTTATTCTTGCACCCCGTCTTCCTTATTTAACACATTTCAAAATTCACAATTCAAAACGTGTTAATTAGCAGGCGGCGAAAGGGGGCAGAAGTTGGGGGAAGTTCTTTCTCCGCAAATGTGTTAATGACTGGGTGGGCTGGGGCACAGCCTCCCTACGCGACTTTAATTTCCGCGCCGCCTTCTTGAGTTTTGGATGTCAATAAAATTAGCATTTGCCTTTGTCTTCGTTTTTGTTTTTGTTTTGCTGTCGCTCAAATTAAACTGTTTCGAGGGCGTGGCCACATTACGCAACTAAATATTCATGCGAACGAAATTCGAGAGGCCTCGTTTCCCGCCTTTTTCATTCCGGCTCTCCCCAATTGACGCCTTGAGCAGAAGGAAAACTCTTTCCCCTCCAGGGAGCAGTCATAACTATCAAATTACCCAAGGATATGTGTTTTCAGCGGCAGCCATAAAAGGCCGATTCCTGACGGTTAGTGAAGTCATCTGCAGAGGCCGCGTTCTAAATATTTTATTTGCAATCAAGACGCGAAACTTCTCCCCAGCGAACAGTGTAAAATTTAGAGGCAGATGGAAGAAATTAAGAACCCTTTCGCATTTCGGAATTAAACTTAAAAGGAAATATGAGCATCTAATTTCTACTAATTATTATTATTCAGCATCTTCAGGACATAACTTCACTTATTTGTAATTCAATTCCTTTTTTGAGAATCCATTTCAAGTGATTTTGGGAAGCTGCTACCTTAATTAAGGCACAACTATTTTAGAAACTCTATGCTAATGCCTTTAATAATATTATTAAAAAGTTTATGAATTTTCAAAAGCGAATTCTGCCCATTTCGACCTTTCTTTCGGGCCCCTTTCAAGACCCCACTTTGCCACTTTCATTGTGAAAATTCAGCACGAGAAGAGGAAAATGCCTTAACGAACACGCCTTTTGTTCTCTTGGGCTGATTTACAGCCGCAAGTTCTGCTCGCTTCTTAACCCCTGTGCTGCCCCTGCGCCGCCGTTGTTGGGCAGTTAACATTTGCTTGA